CATGAACAAGCCCACGATGTATTAGATTAAGGAGAATAAATAAAAATAAACATTTCTCCTCAACCTAATACGCTAAGCATTAAGAAATAAATACAATGCGAAGTCACATGTCCCCGATCATAGTTAGTAAGAATATAATAGGCAAACTCAGAATAAAATAATCTATATCACAAGTGAATATCATCCAAGATATAATATTCGGATCAACATGCCCTCATACAAAAACTAAACAAATGAATACTGGAGAAATATAGAATACATCGTTCCACGAAAAAAGAAAGGAAAAGACTACAAAAGCAACTAAGATCATCAACTAAAAGAAAAATAACTGAGCTTCGACCTATTCTTTAACTCTATCTACAAGGCACTCCTGCTAAGAATATCCTGGCTCTGGCACATCTCCAAGTTGGACCTGTTCTTCTTCTAAGCCTGACGTATACCAGAGAAAACAGGTGTACATCAGCGTGCATGGCACACGGCAAGCCCCCATAAAAGAAAAGAACGAACGAAAACCCAAGCGAAAAATGATACGATAACAGAAACGACAAAAGGACGTGCAACTGGAAATCTAATAAAATCAACATGCGAAAACACTACTAAAACATGATAATCATAAGGCTAACTGCACACTATAACCGGGTCGAGTACTAGCCATTCTAAAAGCTCATTGGTCTACATCTCTACAAAACTAATAAAGTCTTACAGAAGCATTAAGGTCAAAATATTCTGAAGAATGGATTAGTGCTATGAAGAGTGAGATGAAATCCCTAAGAATTAACCAATTATGGAAACTTGTTCCTAAACCTGCTAGTTGTTCTGTAGTGGACTGTAAGTGGCTGTTTAAGGTGAAACAAGAATCTGAAAGTGTTAGGTTTAAGGCTAGGTTAGTAGCTAAGGGATTTACTCAAAAGGAGTGAATTGATTATACTAAAATTTTTGCTCCTGTTATCAAATTCACTACTGTTAGAATTATGCTTGCTTAGTTGCTCATTATAATTGGAAATTAAAACAAATGGATGTAACTACTACTTTCTTGCATGGTGATCTTGATAAAAATATTTATATGCACCAACCTGAGGGCTTTGTGGATCCTAAATTGTCTGATCATGTGTGTTTGTTAAAAAAAATTTTATATGGTTTAAAACAATCACCTAAGCAATGGAATATTAGATTTGATAAATGCATGTAATCTTTAAAGTTTAAAAGGAGCTCTGCTGATCATTGCCTGTATTATAAGAATATAGACTCTGTGCCTATATTTCTTTTAATTTATGTGGATGACATGTTGATTGTTAGTCCTTGTTTGAAGTCTATTGAGCATGTTCAAAAATGTCTTTGTGAAAATTTTAACATGAAAGACTTAGGCGATGCTAAAAGAATCCTAGATATGAATATTATTAGGGACAAAAACAAATCTACTCTAGTTTTAAACCAAAGTTCATATGTCGAAAAACTTTTGAGTAAATTTGCTATGTCTGATGCCAAATCTGTGAATGTGCCTCTTGCTTCCCATTTTGTGTTAAGTAAGGATCAATCCCCCAAGACTAAAACTAAAATAAACGATATGAAGAAGGTGTCATATTCGAATGCTATAGGATCGGTCATGTATCTCATGGTTAGTACTAGTCCTGACATTGCATATACGGTTAGTTGCTTGAGTAGATATATGTCAAATCGTGGTATGCCTCATTGGAATGCCTTGAAATGACTTTTAAGATATTTAAAATCCTCTGTAGATGTAGGATGAACCTTCTCTAAGTATTCTGAAGGTGTTAAACTAGTTGGCTATGTAGATTCCAATTATGCAAATGATAGAGATAATAGAAAATCTACCACTTCCTATGTGTTTACTTTGTGTGGCTCTTGCATAAGTTGAAAATCCCAACTACAACCCATTGTTGTTTTATCTACAACTGAATCTGAGTATGTTGCTGCCACTGAAGCTTTTAAAGAAGCTATTTGGCTTAGAGGCCTTATATATGAAATTGGTTTTCTTGATAAAAATGTGGTTGTATTTTCTGATAGTCAATCTGCTATTCAACTTTGTAAAATCCTGTTTTTCATGATAGAACTAAATATATTGATGTTAGATTTCATTACATTCGGAATATAGTTGAAAATGGTATTGTCAAGTTAGAGAAAATTTTCTCAGAATTTAATCCGTCTGACATGGGTACTAAGTGTTTGCATGCTGAAAAATTTATCTCGTGTCAAAGAATCTTGAATTTTAACTTTGGGTAATTTTCCTTTGCTTTGTGTGTTACCTTTGTGGCCTATTAACTTGCTTTGTGCTTGTTAGTAGCTTTGTGATTTTCCCTTTGAACTCGATGACCGTTTGGTAGAGTTCGATCCTTTGTGGACTTCGCATGCTTGGTGATCTTGCCCTGATCTGTGTGATTTGAGTTTACTTTGTGTATTCTCTTCCATTGCTTGTATCTTCTTTGTGATCATACAAACAATGGTTTGGCGATGATGAGTCCTACAATTCCGTGTTTTTCCTTTGTGCACTACCTTGGGCTAAAGGTGGAGATTGTTGCTATTTTGTCGGCCCAAAATCCGGCCCGTTACCAAAAGGTCCAGTTCCCCATCTTACTTGCCCTAGCCCTTCTTTTTTATCCTCTTTCTCCATGCTGCTTAACCCTAGGTTGGCTGCCCCCTTTATAAAACCTGAAGTGGTTGTTCTCAAGAAATAAGAAGAAAAAAACGAGAGAAAAGAGAACCCGAGCTTTGTTCTCCGGAGATTTGTGCGATCCCTTCACCCTTTGTGAGTGATCAAAGAGAAGAAGTGTGGCGAGCTCCCCTCTTGTCTTGGTGGTGCATAAGGGAGAAACGAGGACTGAAGATTCAGGCTTCTGAGCCAAACAACGACGACATCGAAACTCTACAAGATGTCTAATTACCTACCTGGTAGATTTTTAATGCCAAAAGGTTGTCTGCGAAAAAAAAAAACATATCAAACTGTTGAAGAGGTGCCGCAAAAAAGAATTTTTTTTTTGGGTAATTTAGCGATTTCAAGTGCCACCTGTTCATCAAAATGGAGATAATAGGAGTGGGACAGCTGAAGCGCACTCTCGTATTAACTTAAGTAGTCAACCATCTTATAAAGTTAGCAAACAATTCGAGCACTCCTCTTCATTTCGATTTGTCTTTGATAGTGCGTTGATTATTTGAGGTCATTAACAATGCAATTAGATTAATTATTAGCATATTTGACTATATGTAATAGGATTAAAATTTACGCGTTGGGGGAAGGAAACGTGGCAATTCCGTTCTTCATTGGAAAAAAGATAAAAGGTTCGTATCCCAATTTAAACATAATCCAATACAGCGATACTTCAAAGTTTTGTCATCCACAGAGAAAAGAGTTTATTATTAAACTTTGTGTTTGTTTAGATGAAATTTGTCGGCAAAAATAGGATGGAATTTGTTATAATTTCAGACAAACAAAAAACTGAAGTTAACAAATTCGATACTTTGGAAATTATGAATTTGATAGAAATTCAGAACTAAAATTTGAAGTCGCTCTGTATAATATGATAGAAAAGATAGTTTATAGAGTTTTACTATATCTATTATAAATTAGCTGAAATAAAAGATTACATGATAAAATAAACAAGATTGCAAAGAGTGACCAGTTGACCGTTTCTGTGAAAGTTGAGGATTTATGACTTAGCTAATAGAAAAGATCCGGTAGTTTCTTGAATTCTTATACATTATTTCAACACATTATGGAAATTAATAATGAAACCAGGGTTGGGATTGATTCTTTTTTTTTTTTGCGTCCCAAGGTCGACCATTGAGTGCTCATTGAAGGGAAATGGAGAACATTTGTTTCATTTAGGTGAGCTCGAATTTGGAGCAATCGCTCTCCAAGAAATTTAATTTGAAAAGCTATTGCTAGATTGATGGAAACTTAACCGAGACAAGATCAGCTTTTGCAAATAGGATTTAATTACAACAGTCACGAGATCCTCGTCTCTCTCTCTCTCTCTCTCCCTCCTCTAGTCAAAAAAAGATATCTCTTGTTGGTAGTGGTAACTTGTTTTGAACCCCTCCCAAATTTAATCGATGCCCAATAGTAAGCATACATTCTCTCTCGAATTTTACGAGAAATTTTTTCCTTGGAAATTTGAAACTTGCTCGTAAATACGCGTTAAACGCCACCACATTCTCTATTACCCATGTCTTGGGTCTAAGTGGCTAAAATCTTTGTTGGCGTTTTCAGTATTAGCCCCCTACGTCATTAGCATTTTGTTATTAGTCCCTAAATCTTTATAACTTGATATGAGTACCCCAAGTTATATTATAGTAAGTTGGTATTAGTCCTTGTAGTTACTTGTACATTATAACTGCGGGAGAATATTCCTTTTTTTTTAACCATTTTCTTTAATGGACAATTATGCCCCTCATTTAACAAACCAATCCCGTAACCAATTGACCCTAACCCCTTTAGAGCCCCCCAAAACCATACCCGCTTAGGGCCCGTTTGTTTTCATTATTTGGAGGGGGAAAAAGCATGCCAAAATTCTGAAAAAGTCAGAACTTTGACAGACTTTCTTGCAAAATCGCCCCAAATTGCGTCCAAACGGACACTTAATGAAAACCCAAATCCATTTCGCCTTTATTCTTCACGCCAACTATTAAATTTGGATGGGTATTTAGGCAATTTCTCCATCCATTGATTAGTGTGAAATATGGTTGATGGTTCTAAATGGTAAACCTAACAAAATGACTAATATCAACATATTAAGGTAATCTAGGGACTACATCTTAGAAATACCCAATTTTTGTTTCGTCATCTCAATTGGACCACTCCATGATCGCCACGTGTCTCTTATCAAAAGGAGCAAAAGAGAACATTAAAGAGGAATTATAGACCCGGGGTCACTTTTGTTATTTAGAGCATGTCTTCAGGGCAATTCGATGCTTGTCTATAAAGTAAACGCCAAAATTTGAACTAAAGGTGACCGTTTGAGCTCTATCTGTACTTTATTTCACCTCCTCAGTCTCAGATCTACTTCAAAATTGAACAAGCAGAAAACCCCAACCACCTCCTCTCTATGAACTTCAGAGGGAGCTAGAGAGAGAGAGAAAGAGAAGCTAGAGAGAGGGAGATGACAGGAGTTGTGGTGGTCTCCAATGGCTGCAGGGGTGGGAAGAGAGTTAAGAGGGAAGTAGAGAGGGAAAGCCAGCTCTCTGCGCTTGCATTGCTAATGGCTACACTTAGGAAATCTATGGTGCATTGCCGGTTGAACACCGCGGATGAAGCAATCTCGGCTGTTGATCGGATGGAGATCGGATGGCCTACGGAGGTTCGACACGTTGCCCACGTGACCTTTGATAGGTTCCATGGCTTCGTCGGGCTTCCTGTTGAGTTTGAGGTTGAAATTCCTTGCAAAGCTCCAAGTGCGAGGTTCTAATTCTACTCCATAAGTCATTTCTCTAAATTTTGTGAACTGGGTTCGGTCTTTTACTGCAATATGTGAATGTTTGTGTCTATGGTGAAATTGAAGCACTTTTGGGGTAAATTTTAGGAGGTCTCTTCAAAGCTATAGAGCCAATCGACCACGGATATTGGCCCAATTTATGTTTTGCGTTTCTTTTAGTTAGAATTTTTTCACATCCATTAAGTTTAGATTGAAAGATAACTGTAGAGGATGGTTAAATATGCTTGGATTTTTGTCTTAATTAAAGATTATGTTACTTTTAAATCAATATGGATGCAAATAGATTAGTCTAATCAGTCTTTGTTTGTGAATTTTCCATTCTCAACATCCTGTTTAGTGCAGTTAAACTTATTGTACTTTCTCAGATAAATCTATGTAGCAAAAACTTGTGGAATTGTGTAATGACAAACAATACAAGTCCATACTCAGTTGAGCATGTAACGCAACGTTGAAGTGATAACCTCGGAATCCACCATGAGGTGTTCTCTGAATCCACAAAGAACGATCTCCGAATCCACAAAAAAAATATTAAAAGAGAAATTTTATTGATAAAAAGTTATGCCTCTAGATCTTACAATACTCTGCTTAAATAGAAAATAAACAAGACTCTTACTATAACTTAAACTTTACCAAAAATAAAAATTACAAAACTCTAACCCTAAAAGACTCCCTAGGATTAGGCAAGCAAATCAGTCAAATTTGGAATCAAACCGGATTTACTTTCTAATCAAAACAGACTCCTAAAACATTACCTAAAATAGTAAAAAACAGTCAAAAATGCTGATATCTCCCAATCCAGAGGGAATTCGGCGAAACGGATGGCGACAAACCAGACAACGGTTGGTTTGGTTAACCCCATCTCGAAAAAATACGCGATTTACATACGTAATTCGTCCAATTCCAACTTAAGGTTTGAGAGATATGACTCGTTCTTCATTGCAAGTTATTTTCCTCGACCGAGTTCGCGTTTGGGCTTGTGTCGGCCATGCCTCTCCATAAATATGTCCACAGTGTGTTCACATTGTGTTCTACATCAACATGTTTACCATTTGCCCTCATTTTAGCTGAAATTACGTTGGTATTGATTATTTACTTATATTTGTTTTGTGCCAGTAGTAGATTAACCCCACACTTTCATTTAATTAAGTTTGCTGTTATTCGCAAAATTGATATCAAATATATGCATTGATAAGTAGAATATATTTTGGTGCAGTGTAAGTGTTTTTGGTGTATCTGCTGAATCTATGCAATGTGGCTATGATTCTAACGGTAACAGTGTCCCAACAATTCTATTGCTAATGCAGGAGAGACTGTACTCACAAGGAGGTCTCAAGGTATCTAACATGCTAATATGAATATTTATTGTCCAATCTCAAGAAATTTTATTAAAATACTTTTCTTTTCACAATGTGAATATTACAGGCTGAAGGAATATTTAGGATAACCCCCGAGAATAGTGAAGAGAAGGAATTAAGGAACCAGTTAAACATGGGAATCATACCAGATGACATCGATGTCCATTGTTTGGCAGCCCTAATAAAGGTATTGATGTTAAATTTATACTGAATAAGAATTTTTTGGAGCTTTAGTAGTAAATATCAACTATACAACTAGTGAAGAAGAAATAATAGCCTATTGAACATATATCTATTACTTATATCATACAAGAAAACGAGAATAAAGGTTTTATCCTAAATTTCTGGGGTCAGCTAAAATTCATGAGATTCAACTCAATTTTAAATTAGTTGTTGGCCACCTAATGCAACCATTCTTTATCCTGCCTGGGACAAACAATGGAAGGATAAACATTAAAATTCATAAACGGCGTAGTTCTCAATTACTTATATCATTCTACTGAATATTTGCATTGAAATTAAAAATTGAAAATTCGATATATAGGCATGGTTCAGAGAGCTTCCAGAGGGAATACTTGATAGCCTATCTCCAGGACAAGTTCTTCAGTGTGAATCAGAGGAGGATTATGTTGATCTTGTGAAGCTGCTTCCTCCAACACAGTTTGCACTCCTCAATTGGGCTGTTGATCTCATGGCTGATGTGGTTGAAGAAGAGGAAATGAACAAGATGAATCCAAGAAATATCGCCATGGTATTTGCTCCAAACATGACTCAGGTATTCCCCAAATCCCTTTGACATGATGAAACCAAATTGATATAGAATAAATAAGCATAATTGACCCGCGCGTTGCTGCGGCATTAGCATGAACAAAATTAAAAAATAATGGTTTAATCCAATGTTGAAAATAACGATAACGCATAACGTAACGCTTACCTCCGGTTAAGTTACAATAGCGATAACGCATAACGTAACGTAGGTTAAATAATTTATTATTATTTAAATAATTTATAGATATATAACATTCAAAAAAAATCAGAAATTTTTAATTTTTAATAATTTCAGCAATTTATAGTAGATTCTGTAATATAATATTGTTTTTTTCTGTTGTAATTCTTTACCAGGATCTGATTAATTATTATGTATATTGAGAAACTATAGCTGAATCTGCAATTCTTCACTGCAAATAGCCAGAATCAAACTCGAGACCTCTCTTGGACTGGGTCAAAGGAATTAGTACTCTCTTGGACTTAAGAGAGGCCTAGACACAGTAACGCCCAAACTAGTAGGATTTGTTATATAAATAATCAATATTTCACAGTTAATCACATCTTCAACAATCAACAGAAGATAGCAACAGAAGATGATATCGTGGAGGGTTTCTTCAGAAAATAGCATAAAAAGGAGGAAAAAAAAAAGAAAATCCAGGAAAAAAAATAAAAATAATACCTGACGGGAGATCCAGTTGCAGTGGAGGGTTTCGAACGCTTGCGAGATCCAGTTGCAAGGGAGGGCTTCAAACTCGTGCTGGAGGGCTTCGAACGCCTGCGGAAAGGCTTCGATCGCGTGCTGGAGGGCTTCGATCGCGTGCGGGCGAGCTTCGAACGCCTGCGGGAGAGCTTCGAATGCCTGCGGAAAGGCTTCGATCGCGTGCTGAAATGGAGGCGACGGGAGATCAGAAGGGGGATTCGCTGGTGTTCAAGAGAAATGGAGGCGACGGGTTAGTTTAGGCCCTCTAGGGTTTTGTTAACAAGTAAATCAAATCACAGCCGTTCTTTTTTTTTTTTAAAGCAATCTAAGCCATTGACAAAATAACCTAAGTTATTAAACGTTACGATGTTACGTTACATAACCTACGTTATTGGGAAAATAACCTACGTTATTTTGTTCTTGCGTTATATTCAAACGTTATGTAACGTTGAGCTTGCGTTACGTTACGTTATGCGTTATTTTGCGTTACGAAACGCGTTATTTTCAACACTGGTTTAATCATTTGCATTGAAATTTCTTAATTTGCGGATAAAACTATTTTTTCTAACTTGTATTGCTAATAAATTAATAAGAAAGAATATAAAAGTTAATGATTTAAGTATTTTTTAAAGAATTTCTGGAAAAAAAGAAGTAAGCATCTTAATTAGTTCCCTATATTATTAAAATTGCTCTTGCATCCCCCAAATCATTATGAGTTGTTTGAAATTAATTTCCCTCAGTTAGCAATTTTTTAATTTGGAAAATATTCCTTTAATTTTAACTTTTTCAGAGTGGATATCCTATTTTATACAAACACATGCCGAAGGTATTTTTGGGGGGTGGTGGGTGCGGAGGGGAGGATTTTAATGTCAATGTTTAGAGTGACAGAGTGGGAAAAGTTTTACCTCTCTCAGAAGCTGAAGAGAGAATTGGAAAAAAAGGCAAAACCGACATTTGGTGAACTCGAGTTATTCAGTGAGAATGGTTTAGTAGTTACTTATCCATAATTAAAGGTTAATCTAATCATGATTAACAAATTGGATAGAATTTATAGCAAAATATTTTAGTAATTGCTCATCCATAGTTAAGTACTAATCTAACCATGTTTAAACATTCCATTTAGAAATTTATTTTGAAATTTTTGGATAAAACTATTTTGAGAGTTGTACTATATGTGAAAGAAGCCAAAAAAATAATTGTTAAAAATTTGATTTAGAATTTTATTTTTAGGTTGTCAATAATTTTTTTAAAGAGTCCTACTTAAGATAAACACATACTACATTTATCTTTTTATTCATTTTGATAATCACAGTGATGTATTCACATTGTATCATATTCTTTTTATTTTGATCCACTAAGCCCAAATGAAACTTACTGGGTCTTACTTCAACTACAAGAGCTCATCAGGCTTATATTCATTACTGGTTTCCCCTGAATGCAAGAGATGTAGCTGTTCTATTATGTAAATTGCTTTTCTTAAGTTAGGAAGCAAATTTCATTGTGTATGTCTTGGGCAATGGAGAGAGAGTAGTTAGAGAAACAATGACGTTTTCTTTTGGAAAAATTTAGTCAAAACTCCCTTAAGTTTGGGCCTTTCCTAGATAATCCAATTTAACTTTCAACAATATTCAAAAAAAAAAAACATGAACCACAATTTTTACCAGCAAAAATATTGCCATGCTAATTTTACACACATGTAAAAATTGCGCTCGACGTTAATATTGTTGAAGATGGAATTTTTTTTAGAACCCAAAACATAAGGAAAACATCATGTGAGTTCTAGGGTATTTTGAAGATTAGAGCCGGGAATGGCTATCTAAGGAACGACCATTTAAAGGGGTTTTCCTAAAATTTACCCATATCTTTTTCTATTTTGGTTTTTTTGCACTTTGGCACTCCAAAGTTTACCATTTTTTTATTTTGATATCTCAAAGTATCTTTTTAACACTTTGATACTCCAAAGTTCATTCACTTTGATACACCCAAAATATTTCTTTGACACTTTGATAACCAAAAGTTTCAATCAAGTTACACTTTGATACCATCAATATTATGTAAGATTCATACTAGATTTATATTACATCCTTAATATGTGATACATTGGATCCCTTTTTACCCAGTTGGTAAGCATGTGATACTAATTTAATCGAAAATCTAACAATATGTAGATAGAGGTATCAAAGTGAAGTGAGATTGAATCTTTGATATATCAAAATGGTAAAAAGGTACTTTGGGGTATCAAAGTGAAATGACATTGAAACTTTAGGGGATGAAAGTGTTGAAAAATCCTCTGGTTTTAAAATGAAAAAGTGTATAAACTTTGGGGAATCAAAGTAAAAAATAAATCTCTATTTATTTTTTATTTTTATCTGCTTCTTTCAGTTGAGCACCGGTGAGACAAAACGTATGTTTTCCTAAAATTTACCATTTAAAGGAGGTTTTCCTGAAATAAACAACTATTTATATGTTACTGTGTTGTCTTATCAGCTGCTACCAATGTACTTGTTTGTATTTTTTTTTGTTTTTGATAGAGTGAAGGCATTATTTTGACTATTGCTTTTGACTGTGGTTTATGAGATGTACTACGATTCAATTACTACTGCCGATTTTCGTTGCCATCTGCTAAAGTTTTTGAAGCTACAGTACCTGACTACAATGAAATTTTCCAATAATTTAGTAGATAGTATAATAGTAAATAGTAGATAAATAATAATAATACTAAACTATTGGGTGCACAGTAGCTTAGGAACAATGGTAACCCCAATAGTTTTATATATATATAAATGTTTTTATAACTACTTTTGGACATTTTGCCCCTTAAACATCTATCAATCAGTAACAAACAATTATATGTGTTGCACTTATTGACTATCTTCGTGCAATATTTACGTGCTCCATCAAGCTTGCATTTAACTAAAGATTTATATATTTTCATTAGGCTGTTCTTTTGACTGTACTATGTCTCTGCAATTTTCTTACTCTATGTTGTCTTGTATAGTTTTCATGTCCCAATAACCTTGCATCTAAACATTCAGCCAATAATCAGTATCATTATGCAGTATTAAGCATATATTAAGAAGTATTTTTAGAGAGTTAACGTGCAATTGTAGGTATTATTTTCAAAAGAGTTGATACTTTTGCATTTAGTATTTTAGGCGCATATCAAAAAGAAAATTGGATTTAAAGGACTGACATAATCAATTATAGATTTCAAACTCAATTCTTGATCGACCACAGAGACAATGCTAATTTATTACAATATGGCATATCAACTTTTTAATGTCAAGTTCTTCTTTTTTTCCCTTATCAGCTTTCAGATCCCCTGACATCTTTGATGCATGCTGTTCAAGTTATGAATCTTCTCCAGACTCTAATCTTCAGAACTTTAAGAGAACGTGATGATGCAGCACTATTGGAAGGATATTCACTCTTTTCATCTTCGATTTCATCTGAAGGTGACATGGATGACGAAAACGGTGAATTAAAGGATAGCAGTTCATACAGTTTTGATGATGAAGTGTGTTGCAATTTGGAGGAACAAACTTCTGATTTCCAATTTAGTTTCAATACGAGCAGCGTTAATGAAGTAATTGGAGGTGCTAGTACTAATGATGTAGTCGAAGTTACTGAGAACATTGAAGAATGCTTCTTAAAGCAACTAGAATTGGGCTTGAAGGAAGTTAATGGTGATCAGGAAAGAGAATTTAGCTGCCCTGTATCGAATCCTGAGTCTAGTATTTCCACATCTGAAGCTAATCAAGAGAGAAGATCAGCTGTAATTAATGAAGTGGGATCTACAGATTTTGAGGACATTGAGGAAGACAAAGCAGTGGAAATGATAGTTGAAGCGCTAAATTTGTCTACCGTCAAGCTATCTACAGCGATTGAAGATGACCAAGAAGTTAAAAAGGTGGTGAAGGTCCTAAATTGCTCCTCCATGAATAGATCATTTTCTGCTGAAAATGAAAACAACCAAGAAGTAAAAGAGGCGACGGGGGCACTAAATTTGTCGCGAATGAGTAGATCATTTTCTTACTGATAATGGACTATAAGGTTCAGTCTGTGTTCATGCAAGATCATTGGCTTTAATCTCACGAGCCAGGGTTTGGAAGATTAAGAAAATATAGAACAATGGTCATGAAGGATTGACCGGTAAGTTTATATACGGATTGAACATCAGAAAAACTACTCAAACTCAAATGTTGCTAGGGGTTCAGATGGTCAGTATTGTATTTTCTAATTACTGATGATAGTTCTCAGTCCCAATTTTGTTTTTGTTTTTTTCCTTTTCTTTTCTTTTTTCCCCTTATGCTTCATCCCCTTACTGTAATATTCTGTACACTGGACGTGTTTCTTGTATTTCAACATCTTCTACTCTTCTTCAAATATATTGTACTTGCATTTGCCTTAACTTGATCAACATTATGATCTCTGCTGCTTCAGTAGGGGTTTTTGCCAACAAAAAGTCGCAATCGATTCCAGACAGATTAAATTTTAGTGGTTGAGAAGCTTCTAAAATTCTACCAAAAAAAAAAAAAAAACTAGATAAATCTTCATACAAGAATTTAAAGGAGTGTATTTACTAGAAATGATGAGAAATTTACAAGGCAATAACTAACAAGTACAGTGAAGTATTTACAAGGCAATAACTTAACATGAAGTTATTTCTCCAAATTTCAGAAAGATTAGAGAGAACTATGTAAAAAATAAGAAACCAATAACACTTTCCTACCAAAAATCGTTGCACGAACATACTCCATCTTTGAAATGGTGGAATCTGACTCGATCACGAACAATAATTTCTCGCTTGCATATCTTCGATATCAACTTAGTAGCACTATGACAATCTGTACAAACCCGAAGATTCTTAAAAATCCTTAGTGTAGTTCCAGGAGCAGTACTAATGAGACCAAACCCGATAGCGAGCTTTTCGCTATGGTGTCCAAGTGCATGCTCCTTCTCCTCTTCATCTATATCATACAAAACCTCTGTTATCTCAGCATGATATCCTTCCGTGTTCATCTTTTTTCTCAATTCCTCCAACTCAGCACATATATCAGTGTATCTAGGATGAGACTTATTACCTGAAATAAACTCATGGATCATGTTATTTATCTCAATTGAACTACTACCAGGAATCTTCTCAATTCCCATATTCTTCATGATCTTTCTTATCTTCTCTACTTCCTTCCATCTTCCAGCCAAAGCATATATATTAGACAAAAGCACATAATCACCACTTTCATGTGCTTCCATTTCTAAAACAATTTTTTCGGCTAATGCAACATTATTGTGGATTTTACAACCCCCAAGTAAAGCCCTCCAAATAACAATGTCTGGTTTCATTGGCATTTCTCTTACAATATCTTCCGCTTCCTTCAATAATCCACACCGACACAAGAGATCAACCATACAAGCATAATGCTCCAAAATTAGACTTACATCATACTTCTTTGAAGTGCAATAAAAATGCCTTCTTCCTTCCTCTAGAAATCCTCCATGGCTACAAGCCATGAGGATGCCAACAAAAGTAATCTCATCGGGCCTAATAGATGCACCAAGTTGCATTTGATCAAAGACATCCAAGGCTCTCCGGGCATGTCCATTCAAAGCCAATCCATTGATCATCGTATTCCAAACACAAGTATTCTTCGCCTTTAAACTCGTGAATACGTCTAAACCAAACTCGACAGCCCCACACTTTGTATACATATCAATCAACGCAGAACCAAGAAATGCATCCAATCTAAACTTGTTCTTGTTAACATAAACATGTATCCATTTTCCAGCATCCAAAGCACCCGAACTAGCACAGGCCAATAGAACACTAACAATACTCACCCTATTAGGCCTAAACCTCTCCATTTGCATCAAAACAAACAAGTGCAATGCTTGCAGCGGTTGCTGGTTACGTACATAACCAGAAATCATAGCATTCCAAGACACCAAATCCTTATCAGGCATCTCATCAAAATACCTCCTAGCCATCAAAGAATCCCCATTGTTGCAAAAACCCGTTACCATTGCAGTCCAAGACACCCGGTTCGGGTTTGGAGCGCATTCAAACAGCTCAATTGCCGATAGCGTATCGCCCAACTCAAAGTAACCACTGATCATAATGTTATAAGATACAATATCCCTTTCAAGCATTTCATCAAACAGGAAGCGGGCAACGTGTAATCGCCCACAAACAACGTAACATTTAAGCAATGCCTTCTGCACTGAAGTGCAACATATGAATCCAAGCTTTGAGATTAAGCAATGGAGTTGGGTTGAGTGGGCGATGGACCTAGACTTGGAGCAGGACTTGAGGAGGGATTGGAAAGTGAAGGAGTTTCCATTGTTTGGAGGGTGGGTGTAGGATTTGAAGAAGGCGAATGAATTGATGGGGGTTGAAGAGGAAGCATAGGCTGAGATTAAGGAATTGGAGATGTTTAATGGGGGTTTTTGAGATGGGTATTTGATCAAGAGTTGGGTTTGTATTTGTTGGAGTTGTTTGGTAGTGAGTTGGGGAGAGGAGAGGAGTTTGGTGAGGGGTTTAGTTTGGGAGGAGAAATTTGACGGCATGATAAAATTTAGTTTAGCATTGTTGTTTATCATTAGTGTAAAATTGGTGTCTTTTACAAGTTTGGAAAGGGATGGACTTTGTACAAATTCAAAGGCTTCATATTTTAGCTCCAGTTCAGTGCTCGCAAAAAAATGTATAGAATTTGAGACTGGGAGCATGTAATTTTGGGCGGGAAATGGGCCGATCAGCTCAAGCAATTAATGAAAAACTTTAGGCCCATTACAGTATTTGTGCATCGAACTCGTCCACAAAGTTCAACCCATGCATGCGTTTAACCTCCATTTTTTCCACGGAGTCCAAATTTTATCAGAATAGCCGCATTACTCAAGTAGTTGAATCAACAAATTGAAGGAGAGTACAAACTAATAGACCTTGAAGGAGAATACTTGATCAAGAAATTAACAAGATGCTGACAGATCAATAACGGTCAGATCATGCTAGCTCAGGTTTATAACAGTCCAGTGTGCGAAAGAATTTTGTGTATTTTCGTTCAAGGTTACTAAAAAGTCAAACGTGTGGAATTGCTTTTGGTTGCAGTTTAATATTGACTCCCATGAAAGACGTTTGTTATAATCTTACTACATAATTTTTAGATTTTTTTTTTTAATTTCACTATTTTATTTCACATGGTTCAAACGTACGCAAGCGAAGTTTGCGTTGTCAAAGATCAAATGCACGTACTATATGCCCTGACGTTGTCTAGAGATTACATTGAAATCTCTAATCCTCTTTTTTTTTTTAAAGGTGTAGCTTTAGTGTTACAGATGTGTTGGGGATTTGAAATAATCAAATCAAATCCGTACCCTTCCGGATCTTGTGTTTGAGAGTTGAGCAAGAAAGAAATTCACCACAAATCAAAGATAAAAACTTGTAGGAAAGTAAACAAGAAAGAACACACCAGATTTAACGAGGTTCGGCAACGTGCCTACGTCCTCAGGAGCCACACCACACAATTCTTTGATTGCTTGAAGAAGATTACAATGCTTGCAATTGGCCTCTCTCTCTCTAAGATTTCTAATCTCAAAGAGCCCTCAAAACCCTCTTTTTTTCTTGCTCTTTTTCTCTCTTAAACCCTAAAGGGACGTGTTTCTATTTATAACAAAACACAATCCCAAACAGATTAGGATTCTAAAACGAGTCTGCCACACCCTGGTGTGGCGCAGACCACACCCATGGCAGACATGGCAGATTCTGCCACACCCTGGTGTGGTGCAGACCACACCCATGGCAGACATGGCAGATTCGGCCACACCCTGGTGTGGTGCAGACCACACCCATGGTCTGTCTTGAATTTTCATGCGATTGTTGATTTTGATTTTAGGTTTGGGTCTCCACTCTCAAGACCAACAAGATGTTCTTATCAGATTAATGTTATGATATCTATTTGAGGGATAATCACATGGAAAAAGATGGTAGTTGCAGCTGATATTGTTTGTTTTGCAACGCTCGGTAAGTCACTGTTTGTAAAATCTAGTAAAGAGGGCATGTGCAAAGCACGTGCCAACCCTATCTTTGTGTTTATAGAAAATATTGCTACATATCTTAACATAAATAAGTTAAATTAAATGTGCAAAAATTACATTAATAGAGACCATGGCTACAAATATTTTGTGTGCAACTTTCACAATAATAGTGAACATATTGAGGCTAGTAAACTTAGGCTAGTAAACAACTGCAATACTTGCAAAGTGCAAATTAAACTTGAAGCAGCATGGAAGTCAAAATTTTATTCCAAATATAGCCAATGCTATATTGTTAAAAATTTTATTACTAAATTTTATGAAAAACTTGGGCTAGTAAACCACTGCAATCACTTGTGTCGCGTGTGCCCTTCTTTAGCAACTTGTAATACTTGTAAAGTGCAAATTAAACTAGAAGCAGCATGGAAGTCAAAATCTCGGAATCCAACAATGAATAAAAACCATAGAAAAAGTAGCAGTGACTTTTTTCTTTGGTTTGGCGAGGGAACTTCCCCACAATCTTTCGAACCATGGGTACCAAATTCCCGAGCGTGGCGAAGGGGCACCCCCAATGCACGGCCTGGGGTATTTCACGAAATTAATTTCGTGTGGTTTGTCCCCAAGAGAGTCAAATTAACCTAAGACCTTAGAGTACTACTCATATGTAGCTTCCCAACAAGGTACGAGGATCCCTAGGCCGGAGCCTGAGCTTGATCGCCGGTCCCTATCAATAAACCCCAAGTGCGTGGGTCCCACCTTACATTCTCACTCTCTAGTTTAGACAGGCATGATCGAACCACGAGCATGTGGAATGCAGATAGTATTACTATTGCGTTTCTGGACAACCTGCGTGCGGTTGGTGAAAATTTATTTGAAAGAGGGGATTATAATATAGCTCTTAAGAGAAGAACAAAAGGAATTAGGGGGGTGAGAGAGAGGGAGTGAAAGTCCATAAGGTTCACTTTAGGAAACCTTTTTCCTTAATATTGTCAAATGAAAATAAAGAATATAAGTCTTTAGGTTATTATATGCGTGTGAGGAAGATGAATTTTTGATGCGAATGGCTCAGAACATCACATGTATGCTATTCTAAGAAAATTTGTACTCGAATACAAAATCAAAACTTTTATTGCAGAAGGCACTTAAGGTAAACAAAGATGACGAAACTGGGGAAACAAAATTCATCGAGATTACTCCATGACAAACAAAAATACCAGAAGAAAAGAAATGTTAAAGGGAATAGTACGTATGGAGTTGCGTGTGCATATACAAATACCACATAGCAACTACATCTGGGTTGAGTACTCATTCGCCAAACAAGCCTCCCAAAACAATCTATGGTCCTCCATCTCAGCCATCAATTCACCTTCTCTCGGCGCATCGCGGCCGTCCACTTCGGCGGTCTCATACTCTATTGCGCTCTCTTCACACCATGTGCTCCAAGAAATCCACCGCTCATCTCTGCAGCCACAATCATCATCACCACCGTTGACGCATGACTCAGCATCGTCTTCTTCTTCCTCCGGCCCCGCTGATGACATGGTGGTTGCCGAGTCCTCAGAATCACCGCTCACCTCTAAATTGGTCGCCTCGTTGTATCTGTGAGATGAGTCCATACCTCAAATCGGTTTCGGACTCAAGATCGAGTACCATTTTATACATAGAAGCAAACTCTTTTAGGCCTCGTCGGCACGTGTGGGTTCCGTGACGAGAAGTAGTTAGCTAGGCACAATATTGTGGTAGATGGATGAAGTTTTGATAGCGTGGAAAATGTGCGAGAGAGAGAGAGAGGGCACGTGTAGGAATTGGATTGGTGATTAGGTGAGATGTAGTGCTTCTAGAAGCGTGGAAACATATGGGCGGAGAGATATGGACTCTAATTCAAATATTAATTAGGCCAAGGTTTACTTTGCCTTTGAGAATAGAGAACTTGTATAGTCAAACGTGTTCCTTTTAAAGAAGAATTTTGGAATGTCTTTCTATTTACGCATATTAGGCTGTACTTATTGGTACACAAGGACTCTATTCCATCAAAATATTGCTTCTTTCAATGTATTCTTAACGATGGGGGAGAAATCCGGTCCTCCTAGGGCATTCACGAGCATTAAAAAAAATAGAGAAACAAATCATACTTTTTTTTAAAAGTACGAGTTCGGAAAAATCTTTCCATGGTTAATATTACTCTTAATTTTTTTAAATATTACATTATTATCCTAATCTATTCTAATTATCATATCTTCTTTGAATTGGTAACTAAATAATTTATCATATTCATAATTAGACTTAACATGTTATTGGATAAAAGAGATACGTTTTATATATAAGGGAAAAATGTGTCCAGGCCCCAAAAACAAAAACTTCATGTGACAAAGCCCCTCATATTTTTTCCCCATGTGGATCAGCCCCTTGAAGTGTGACACTTTGTACTGCAACTCTTTTTTATTAATTATCACATGCCGGTTAAAGTAAAATTCTCAAACTATCCTTATCCTCTCTCCTCTCTGACCTAGCACTCACATCATCTCTCTCTCATCTCTCTCCTCTCTCTCTCTCATCTCCTCTCTCTCTCTCTCTCTCTCTCTCTCTCTCTCTCTCTCTCTCACCTCTCTCTAAAACTAAGAGCTTTATTAAGCTCGTTATGCTAATTTGTTAATTCTGGGTTCCACGTTAGTTCTAGCCCACATCCCACCAGTTCTAACTTGTATCCCACCAGTTCTAGCTCACATCTTGCTAGTTCTAATCAAATACCTTGTTTTTTTTCATGTTAAGTTGTTAATTCTGGGTTCCACGTTAGTTCTAGCCCACATCCCACCAGTTCTAACTTGTATCCCACCAGTTCTAGCCCACATCTTGCTAGTTCTAATCAAAGCCCTTGTTTTTTTCATGCTAAGTTGTTAATTCTGGGTTCCACGTTAGTTCTAGCCCACATCCCACCAGTTCTAACTTGTATCCCACCAGTTCTAACTTGTATCCCACCAGTTCTAGCCCACATCTTGCTAGTTCTAATCACAGCCCTTGTTTTTTTCATGTTAAGTTGTTAATTATAGGTTCCACGTTAGTTCTAGCCCACATCCCACCAGTTCTAACTTGTATCCCACCAGTTCTAGCCCACATCTTGCTAGTTCTAATCAAAGCCCTTGTTTTTTTCATGCTAAGTTTAACAACTTAGCATGTAAAAAACAAGGGCTTTGATTAGAACTAGCAAGATGTGGGCTAGAACTGGTGGGATACAAGTTAGAACTGGTGGGATGTGGGCTAAAACTAACGTGGAACCCAGAATTAACAACTTAGCATGAAAAAAACAAGGGCTTTGATTAGAACTAGCAAGATGTGGGCTAGAACTGGTGGGATACAAGTTAGAACTGGTGGGATGTAGGCTAGAACTAACGTTGAACCTATAATTAACAACTTAGCATGAAAAAACATGGGCTTTGATTAGAACTAGCAAGATGTGGGCTAGAACTGGTGGGATACAAGTTAGAACTGGTGGGATACAAGTTAGAACTGGTGGGATGTGGGCTAGAACTATAGTTTTGTGCCGACTTCGCACGTACTTTCTGATCGTCTCCAATCTCTGTTTTTGCCGATTTCTTCTTTGGTGAGTAGCCCTACATGTTTTCTATCACCTCCA